TACGGCTACATGACAAGCCGTGGTGTCCAAGGCTGTTGACATCTTCACCACAACGACAACGATGAGGTGAACAAAATGAAGCTCCAAGCCTTAAACAAATTGCAGCGCGGAACGTGGTGTCGTCCAACAAAGTACCTAGGTTAGACGAAGGTAAAGCAAGAAGCCATAACCCCGACTCCCACTCACCCACAGCCAAAAGGCGAGCTCTCTCTGCAGTTGAACAAGAGGAGTTCAAGAGATTTTCGCTCACTTTTCTGCAGAGCGGCTCGTCCCATTGTCTCTGGGAATGTGATTTGACGGGGGGGTCAATATTTGGGCAAGCGATTTTCCAAGCATTCACAGCTTCCACTAAACATGGTACATCAAAATTAACCAGTGATTGAGAAAGAATTTTCCTGGTTAATTCTTCAGTACCAAGGGCGGAAGATATGAAAGCCGGTAGGCTTACACTGGAAATTATACGGACGCCAAGCCCACCCATGCGGACAGGCAGAGTGGCTTGAGTTCAAGCTCGGTCATCAAGAGCCACATTCAAAATTAAGGACAGGGTTCGCCTAATGATTTGGTCAATTTTTTCTAAAAGAAGGGGTGCAGACCAGAAGTGGGTCGAGCGCAAAAAATACATAAATTTGGGACCGAAGCAGCAAAACCGAATAATAGTATAAGCCGAATGCATTCTAATGTGATATAGTTTTTCTGAAACGACAGAAAAATTTTGAATTTTTTCTTCAATAAAACTTGGAAAAGAGTCCTCGAAGACGGGTGCACCTAGGAGGCGAAGTGAACATTTATCAACCACCGAGATATTACGTGCAAAAGTACTAAATTTTTTTTTTATATATTTTAAGTTGTATATATTAATTTTTATCTTTTATTGTATATATTTAATTTAGTAATAGTTATTATTTATTTTAAATCGTGTATGTTCTAGAAATGATTTAAAAGTAATAGATATAATAAAAAAAAAGTAAATAAGTGCAAGTTTGTCCTTTTTAGTTGTTTCTTTTTTAGTTTCACTTTTTACTGAAATAGTATATTTGCAAGAATTGATGCTTCGCTCATCTGTAGATTTAAAACTTAAATTGTGATTTGGAAAAAATTTTCAACGTTAATAAAAAACTCATAATGTTTAACATTTTATTATTTTAAAATACTCATTTATAAAAATATATGCTTAATTCGTTTTAATTTTATGTACTTATCTAAAATAACATCACCCATACAAATGTCGCAAATTGCAAACTTGTACATACATTATGCAGGTACTAACTACTTACCAGATAAAGAAATTGATAACGTCAAAAATTGTGCATATTACATAAAAAATATAATATTGTTAAAACTTCCAATTAGATTCAATTTTTTTGTAATTTAGTGTTTTACTTTCAAAATGTTAAAAATTCATTTGAAACTGTTAAATGTTTATAATGAACTGCAATGTACCTATATAGTTCATTATAAACATTATTTATTAAAATAATCATAAATAATCATTATTTATTTCCTCTTTCTATTTTTTTGTTTTTTTTTCTTATCAGTACAAGTTTCTACCTAAAATAATTTAATGAATAATTAAAATAAATTAATTTAGGCGCATTCCTCTTAGGAAAATAATATGTGCTATGAAATGGGTCTAGTATGTCTCTAGACATTAGATATCTACCTTATGTAGGTACCTATATCAATTTATTTATCAACAAAGATTTCAATCATTTGTATTGAAAAATGCCAGATCATTATCAGAAAAATTACCACTTTTTTTACCACAAATTACTTATTTTACGATTAAGCAATTTTTTTGGTATTTACAATTAACTATTTAAAATACATAATTTAAGTACATTTAAAATAAAAAGCTACTTCTAGCTTTCTATCACAGTGGCAACACAAGAAAAATACGTTTGTTTTATATTTGAATAGTTCCAGTGGGTCCCAAAATATAAAAACGTAATTTTCTTGATAGTAAACCAAAGGCTGGATGATAGGCCACCTTCAAAATATTGAAATAACTAAAACTAAAACCTTATCTAAAATAAAGATAAAAATTAACTTGCTAGGTAGTTCATCTCTGCGTATTCTCTAAATCTAATATTATTTATTTACTATTTATTTACATTTCTGGGTCTGGCGCGTCTATGGCGTAGCCGAACTTTTGCAGAGCGATTTTAATTTCGCCGAATACGGAAGGATCTTCAATGGTTGATGGTAGCTTTACAAGTTGAGACCTAGCTAGCTTGGCGATGGCTCCACGAAGGGCTTTTCCAGACCTGGTCCTAGGTAATGCGGGAACGGCGACTGCCTTCCTGAATGCAGCGATGGGTCCAATCAAGTGTCGAACTAACGCAATCAGCTCTTGAGTCACTGTGCTTTCAGCTACGATTTCTTCATCTGTAAATTATAATTTTGAATTAGCTCATGGCAATCAATCAATCATACGCTTTATGACAATTTTCCACTTAAAAACAAGTAGGTACCGATTTCATTGGTCTAGGAAACTTTTGGGAGCGTCGTTATCCCAATCCATTCAGCTTATCAGCTAGGTATAGGTACTTTATTCAAGGGTTTCACTAAATAACCTACCATCTTGAGGAGGCCTCATAACATAGAGACATAGAGGTACATCTCCTTTCGTGGGATCTGGGGCTCCAACCACTACAGCATCAGCAACCCTGGCGTGTCTTAGGACCACGTCTTCAAGGGCAGCAGTGGACAGACGGTGACCGGCTACATTGATGACGTCATCAGCTCGGGCTACTACCCACACAGCTCCTTCAGCGCTTATCCAGCCAGCATCTTGGGTGTCGTAGTATCCCTGAGCAAAAAAATATTATTTTGTCAGAAAAAATAAATGTAACTCGTGTGGTATAACTCAGTAAGAGACGTTTTAACTCGTCGAGTACCGGTTTTGTAGACACAATCATAGAACAATAGGTTGCGGTCACCGGTGACCGCTTGGTGTTTGACAGTTTAGAATCGCAGTTTTTAAATATTAGGTACCTAGGTATTTTTTTTAGGTGCGGCTGTCAGGCAAGGCGACTCGGGTTTTTTTTCCGGGTCGGGCAAAGTACTACTGTTTTTTTTAATCTCAGTAGCAACACGGAGTCTGGAATACGGTAGTTGACAGGAAGTCAAATTCAATACTTTTATTGAAATGTCAAAAACGATACTTTTATGAATTTTGTATTCGATCGCAACCTATGGCGTCATCATATTTCTGCGTTAAATAGCATACCTATTTCCTAAAAATTAGCGAGAAAAAATCCAAAAGTAGGTAAACTGTCCAATCAATAGATGAGAGTATGATTAATTATTTTTTAATTATTATAGGAAACTGCGCTCGGTAGGTATATGGCAATAGGCTCAACCCCTATTACATGGGACTCATAAACATTATAATTATTATGTACAGTGGCATTAAGCGTCGTAATGTGCACCTCTGCGTACCCCTCCGGGGATAAAAGGCGTGATGTTATGTTATGTTTCATTGGATACTTATTAGACGCGCCATCTAGATATTATTAAGTGACGTCTGTATAATGTGTCAACGTGGGTAATACGACATATCATACGTAAGGACAATAAAATTGTCCTTCATCGATCAATCAACCGACGCAGTAGAGGTACAATACGTAGTCGAAAATCGAATTTTACTCACAAATTAAACGTTATAATTTCAATTGCAAAACAATTATTTTCGTGATACAAAGGAAATTTACGGTGTCGCCAGTATGACATATAGCAGGTCATGTGATTACAAGAGCATTTGTCGATCTAATGACCTCGGGTTCGATTCTCGTACCGGGTAAGATTTAATTGGACGTGTAGACTAAGATCCATTAGCCATATGAGGCTATTACATACAACTGGCCAACTGTTTAAATCCTTTATAATTTACACTAGATTTTACCCGCGGCTTCGCTCGCGTTCGCGTCACAAAAGGATTAAAAGCCAACATGACATATACCAATACACACAGCGCCATCTATACCAATACTTTTGTTTTCCCTCGGGAATATCAAATTTTTCCGGGATAAAAAGTACCCTATTATTTAATCCGGACTTCTAACTATACATCTGCAAAAATTCAAAGCAATCGGTTCAGTAGTAATGGCGTGAAAGTGGAACAAACAAACAAACTCACTTTCCGATTTATAATATTAGTAAGGATAAGGAAGTAAGGAAGTAAGGATAAGGATAAGGATATAATTTAGTAATAAGTTTACCCCTATTAATTTATGAGTGTCTCCCACAGATATATTAATATTAATCTTTATTATATCTGTGGTGTCTCCTCATCATGAAATAACAATACAAAGAAATTCTTACAGGATATGTTTCAAAATAGGTTTCCTTGAATCGCTTGTCAGCTTGCCACAGAGTTGATGCGAAGCCTGGAGGCAGAGGTAGCTTAGCCACTAGTCTGCCGACCTCACCGGGCTGGCATTCTGATCCATCTTCTTTTAGGGCATGTACTGGAAATATATTGGAACGGTTCATATTGTTAACTACAACATTAGAATGTTACTAAACTTAATCATAATTACCTATTGATGATGAGAGAGAGGTAACCTAACATCACCATATTCACCACTATCAAATTCCCGGAACAATTCACCTATGATTAAGAGCCTCCTGTATTTATGAGGATTTCATTGATTTTTTTAAACTAGTTAGTTCTTTGTAGTAGAGGTACAAAAAGAACGGGGTGGTTTTTAGTCAGTAAGAGTCTGGCACTCCCTCTCGCCTAACCCAAGGCAGGAGAAGTCATTGGATGATCCCCCCCACCTCAAGTCAAGACCTTTGTATGCCAGGTTTTTCAACAAATAAATTTATATATTTATTTTCTATAATCTCCACGCCTGTCAACCGGTTTGGAGTTTGAAGACCGCAGTTTCAGAGGTTCAAGTGAACCAGAAAACGCTTGTTTTCCCATAGTCGGCATGAAAGCCGACTATGTGTTTCGTGAACGAAACCCTCGGAAAGGTGTTTTTTATATTTGATGTGACGATGTTTGACCATTATATCGCCTGATGGTAAGTGATGATGCGGTCTACCATGGAGCACGTCGTCCCATAAGCAACCTATTTACTCGGGCCAGGTTAGGTAGATGATAGTCGATACCCATATGGTATCGATTACTCTAGGCAGTCCACCGTATTACCAATATGATGAGGGCGAGATAAGTAAGAACCTAATACGTTGGTATTAGGTTCCTACTTCAGTGTTCCGGTGTTTTCATGGTTGTATCTACGGTAGATCCTGGCTTACAGGAGTTGGAGCGGTTTTGGGAGGTTTAAAAAAAAACGTAATATAACTATGCATACAAACATTGGACAAATCTGTCTTCCCTTTTAAAGAATATAAGACATGACATTGACACTTACGATCATATCCAGGCACGGGGTAACCAGCTGAATGAGGTGGAATAGCCTTCACGTTGTATCCCATGCAAGGCGCAGTGATGGGAGACCCTGACTCCGTCTGCCACCAGTGGTTTAGTACTGGTACTCCAAATATACGCTCCGACCATTGCTGGAGAACATAAAAGAGGTTAATAAGGGTTCATATTTTCTCGAAGGCGTACCCACTAAGCAACTTTTGATGTACAAAATGGGACGCTAAATATGTCAATAAATAGAAGGCTTTAGTAGCATTTATTTTTTTAAGGAGGGCAAATCGAATGACTGCTCCCGCCTGGCTGAGGCGGGAGGGTGTGTCAGACTCTTACTGACTAAAAACATTCTCGTTCTTTCTCCTACGCTTCGAGCTGGAGCCCCGGTAACCCGTTAGGTTCTCCGCTAGCATTAGAATCGTATTTACTTACTTACTAAAAATGCTAATTCTATTTTTACGACATAAAGACAAGATCTGGTCAGTTTAAAACCTTCCAACATTTAAGAACAAGTCTACCAAGTTCATAAACCCTAATTAAAAAAATATTTTATTTCATAAAAATAAGTGTGTCAGCTATTTTTACCACTTATTCTATGCCTTTCTAGACTTGAATTAACATTTTGTGTTAATTACCATTACGGTGGTACGTTACGCTGGCATCGAACTGAGGTCCCGTCTCAGGTCAATATTATACTTACACATGACAATGAATGTTTTAATTTACTTTGTTTAACATACTGTTATAAACGTTATTTATTGTCTACTTCTTAGTTTCTACTCGTGACTGCGCTCCTTTTGTAACACGAAGACATTCACCTCGTTTCTTACTTCTAGAAATGTCTCATCTATGCATTTTATTTGCCTATAGCCTTTTCTCCGATATTGTTTTTATGTCTCCGAAATTTTGAAAATATTTATCCTTCTTAAAATCATGACGATCCGCAGAGGGTAAATGTTTTCCCTTTACTGATGAAGAGATGGAGAAACTGATGTCAGTTTCTTCATTAGTAGGTAACGACTTCCGACGATGTTAGTATACTTAACATCTGCCAGGCTATTCTATAAAATGTCAATTCGAACTATGTAAGTGAACTCGATTGCATTCTCGCCCGTCATTGGTCGAGATTATTCTCACAACCAATCGGGTACTTGCCAACTAGTCAAATTGAATAGGTACTTATTTCGAACTGTCAAAAACGATAGTTGAATTTTGTACGAGATTGGGTATTGTGATTGTGACGTCACGTTTGTTAGCGTCAAACAACATAATTATTTCTAAAAAAAATGCTGGATAAGTACTAAAATTAAGTTAGTCATAAAATCAATGAATGAAAGTGTGATTTTTTTAATGTTTTATTGTATTGAACAGTCGAAATAAATTATTTTTATAAAGGAAAGTACCCGATTACGTAGCGGGCCGCTATCTCGTTTAGTTCGGGAGTTCGAATTGACATCTTACAGAATAGCCTAGTTCATACCCACAGAACATAAAATATGTTAAACATACCGATTACTTAATGACTCAGTTTTTTATAGGTGAAAATAAAATTGAGGCAGTTCTAAGATTCAATGTATCAACCGGTGTATCTTTTTTTTTTTTTTTTTTTTTTTTTTTTTTTTTTTTTTTTTTTTTTTTTTTT